ACCACCAGCCCGGCCTCCGCCGGCGCCGCCGGGCCTAAAAGCGCACAAAAAAACCCGAAAGCGCTAAAGCGCTAGGGTTTAGGATTTCGGAGTTAGGTTTTTGGGGTTTCAGGGTCTGTTTGTTTAGGGTTGAGAGTTTAGGGTTTAGGTAGGCCCCTGGAAAGAAAAGCAAGCTCAAGCCCCAGCCCCTGAAGCCTAAATCTTCGTCCCCATATCCTAAATCCAAACCTCTAGACCCCGAAACCCCACGCCCTCAATCCGGTGTTTCTGTTTTTNNTTTTTTTTTTGGGGGGGGGTTTGGGCCTGATGGCTTCAAGGATCTTCTTCGGCTGTTTGGTCTGGAGTGTTTACTGTAGTAAGGTCTTTGCGTAAGGCGAGCTGTTACCGTAGTTTCGGATGTTGGAGGCTTCAGGGCTTTGAGGGTGAGGGGTTACGGTTTAGGGATGTGTTTGGGGCCTGCGAAGGTATATGATGGTTCTTCTTGCCGCGATTGACCATTGCTTTACTTTCTTGGATCTTGTGTTGAGTACCATGGTCCAATGATAGATTGTTAGGATGATTTTGCTTCTGCTGTCGCAACTGTTGGGGCTTCCTGACTTCCAGTGCTCAGATTGCTGTGGTTGTCCCAAAATCTTAGGACGTTTCAAGCAGATCACCCCCACATACCCTCTCCCCCAGCCCCAAACCTACGCCAGCTCCGAACCTTGAAATCCTAAACCCAAACCCATCCAAACACCTTGCCCTAAACCCCTAACCCCTAGCCCCTACACCCTAAACCCTAAACCCCCACACCCCTAAACCCTAAACCCTGAAACCCTAAACCCAAACCCCCTTGGCCTCGGACCCGAGTAAGCCGCAGCTGCCAAGGTCTCCGCCGTGGCTCCCAAGTCCAAGGCGGTGTCGCCGATTTCGGCTGCCGCCGTCATGGAGGCGGGGTTTGGGTTGCAAGACGGTGCTTGGAAAGGTTCGGGTTTGAGGGGTTTCAGGATCTTCGTTACCTTCCACCCTGCATTTGTAGTTCACCCTAAACTGCCCTAAACCCTAAACCCCCTGGCTTGAGGGTCTGTGTTTATGGTTCATGGCCTTGGATTTGGGTCTCTGGGGGTTCACGTTTGGGACTTCGGATACGTGCTGATTTACCCGGCATCCTCATCGCTCGGCCCTGAGCCCGGCACTGTTCTAGTGTTTAGGGTGTAGGGTTTAGGGTTTAGGGTGTAGGGTTTAGGGTACAGGGTATAGGGTATATAGGGTTTAGGGTTTAGGGTTACAACTATTCGTTGGTTTGGGGTTTCCGAGTTTAGAGTGTGCCTCAAGCGCGAGATACCAAAGCCCGGGCTCCTGCTAGGACCTTAGGAAGTGTGTATCGCAGACTACACCCAAAAGGATATATTCAACACGTCGCTTTCACTTTTGGGCCAAGAGGGGCTTGCAGAGAGTGTGAACCCCAAACCCGGAACCCTGAACCCTGAACCCTACACCCTAAATCCTGAGTTCCCCGAGTCAGGAAGGAAAGAAGCCTGCGACGGCTGCCGAGCGCTTCGCTGCAACCGGTTCGGTCCTGGCCAGAGGACACGGCTTCGGGGTTCGGGGCCTTAAGGGCCACGGCTTAGGGTTTTGAGGGTCTTAGGGTTGGGGCATCTCGGGATTCAGTGAGCCCTGAGTCCACGAGGAGAGCGCACCTGTGCGTCCTGCACGTTCTGTGTTTGGATGCTGATGTTGCGTGCTCATTCTTTTTAAAAATTGGTTGAATGCCTGCATGTGTTTCTTCAGCTGGAATTTTTATGGAATGATTGTCGATGTCAAAGCGCTCCAACACATCAATCATATCAGGAATACTATGTTTTCTATGTCCACCATAATCTCTCCTCCTCCTCCTCCTCCTCCGCCTCCTCCTCCTACTCCTACTCCTACTGCTACTACTCACACTCCTACTCACTCCTACTCCTACTCCTGCAGCTGCTCAGCAGCTGCAGCCTGCTTCTACAACTATGACAAACACCGCTACTACCATTTTTCTTCTTGTTCGTGTTATCCTTTCCGTTATCATTCTGGTTCCCAGGTCTTGAAACTTCGAACTCATGTCTGGAAGCTCTTGGAGCCAGGAATGGGAGCCAAGGCAGAGGCGCCCAAGGCCCACAGTTTCGGGGCTTTGGGCTTTTGGCCTTGTGTTCTTGGGGTTTGGGCTGACTTTGGTGATGCTTGTGGGCTTGGAGCTCTGTGTGGACAGTTCAGGGGCGGGTAAAGGCTGTCGGCTTTGGTTCTGTTTGGAGGCTTTGTCGGGTTTGGGGCTTGTTGCTTTGAACACTTCTTGTAGATCAGGCCAAGGCGAAGCCGGCCGCGGCCGTGCCGACCACCTCCAAGTACGCCGGCTCCGCGACCATGACCCAGGCCGCCCCCACCAGCGCCTCTTGGCCGGCAGTCGCGGGAGTTGCTGAGACGCATGGGGATTTGGGGTGTGCTCCCATGCAGCTTAGCACTTTGCGACACGGAGTGCCCTGACTCAGGTGCTGAACATCGTCAGCGGCAAGCCGGTCGCTGCGGGCGAGGTCGCCAGCAGCGCGCACACCACCAGCTCCGTTGGCCCGGCCAGGGGCTACGCCAAGGCGTGGACGCGCTTAACATAGGGGCCTAAATGATTAGCAATACTATTTTGGGGGGTCCTTGTAGATCATGCAAGTGTAGCATGCCCCAAAGCCCGATTCTAATGGAAATAATAAACCCCCTATACTCAACTGCCCTTGAAAGGAAAACTATTCTAAATTTGTTTGGGCCCCTGTACTTAGCAACTATTTAGGATTCTACAGTAACTCTTGTGAGCGAGGGTCTCCCTTGGCTTGAGGCGGCCGGCAGCGTTCTGCCCAGCAGCGCTCCAAAGGCAGTGCTCACATCCTTCTTGGGGGCTTACGGCTCAGGGCACACGGACTCATGCGGTTCATGGTAAGTGTTGATAGCCGGACTTTCTACCGTGGTGCAGATCGGGCCACCTGCCGTGGCCGTTGGGCGCGCCATGGCTGAGGTTCCGATTGGCTTTAGATCGCACTGCCTGTTCTGAACTGGTCCATGCATCAGGGACGCCCCGCAGTGTCCATGACTGGTGGCAAGTTGGCCACCACCATCAGCAAGAAGTTCCAGCACCTTGGCGAACGGGCCTGGGCGTACATGTCTCATGTCAGCAGAAAGCCTGTCAGGATCGTCTTCGTGACCAGCGAAGTGGCACCGTTCTCGAAGACTGGAGGCGCTCCTTCCGCGGTGCCCTCGGGGCCACATCTTCTGAAAACCTGCGTGCTTTCAGGCCTCGGTGAGGCCATGGACGGCCTGCCCATTGCGCTCGCGGCCTTGGGCCACCGCTGCATGGTCATCTCTCCTCGCTCCTCGGAAGCACCATCCGAGGGCGAGGGAACGCGAGCGTACCCCCTGTCTGAGCATGTGCCGAGCTCGCCGCTCGCCTTGGCGTGCTCAGGCTACGACCAGTACAAGGAGGCCTGGGACACGGGCTGCTGGGGCTCCGTGCCCATGGGCGGCAAGAACGAGTCCGTGCACTTCTTCCACACCTACAAGCAGAAGGCCCCTGTCTCTTTCCATCCCAGCCCCAGAGCAAAGCCTGGCATGCTTGTGCCGGCAGGTCGACTACGTCTTCGTCGATCACCCCACCTTCCTGGAGCGCGTCAACGGACTGACAGGTGCAGGGAAAGTGGGGAGTTTGCACACAGGCCCGCAGCAGAGTGCAGATGCAGGTCGCAGTAGGTCACATAGGCGTCAGTTGCACAGAGAGTCATGTGCAGAAACTGCCGGATGAGTGGCGTCGGTGGGGTTGTGCAGGTGCCAAGCTGTACGGCCCGGAGTGGGGTCAGGACAGCTCCGATGGATGGTTCCGATCCCCCAATCCTGGTCCCAATCCTCGACTCTGGCCCTCCCAGACCCGAGAACTCGAGATTCGAAACCCCGAGGCTCAACACCGGCGCATCCGACACCCAGCCCATAGTTCCCCTGCAACTCTTGAACCCCGACAAGTCTTCAACCCCCAGTTGCCTAGACAGGACTTCGCAGACAACCAGGCTCGCTTTGCCTACTTCTGCAAGGCGCGGAGGGAGATAATAATAGCTTGGCTAGTAGTAGAATAGGCAACCTTTTTCCTTTTTGGGCTATGCTAAGCCTGACCCTATAGAATGCTGGACATGCAAGATGATAGGGGTTCAGGGTCTATAGGGGTTTTCCTAAACCCCAACACCCAACTAACCCCTAAGCCTTCAAGCAGGGTCGAGGGCCAGTTTAGGGGTTCTTAGGGTCTCAGGGTTTTAGGGTTCAGGGCTACACGCGTTTCGAGCCTACGGAGGGATATCGGATGGTGGTCACACAGGGGCCTCAGTGGGCAGAGTAGGGTGAATCGGGTTCCTCTAAGGGTAGGGCTCTATAAGCGTTGCTGTAAGGGTCTAGTATAGGGTAACTGAGTTTAGGTGCAGGGTTTTGTGGGGGTTCACTAACAGTACTGCAGGGCTGGCACCTTAAAGATTTGGCGTTGCGAGATTATCAGGTATGTTGTAAGTGCTTGAAGCGGGTGTGTTTTTGGTCGTTTCTTCTACTTACCCAACACCCTAAACCTTAAACTCTAAGCCCCAAAACCTCCCTCCCTCGCAGAGGCCGCGTTGAAGGCCATTCAGGAGCTGCCTCTGGGCGGCGCTGTGCCCGGGGCTCGGAGTGCTTTGCCTTGCAGTTCGGGGTTTGAGATTCAGGGGCTTAGGGTCAGTATAGTTTTTTGAATTTAGGAATTTGATGTAGGGTCAGACAAGGGTTTTTTCTACGCAGCTTTTTTCACTAAGTTTTTAAATAGGGGTTCTACATGGGCTTAGGGTTTACTGCTTTGTGCTTGGGGGGTGCAGGTGTCGGAGTGAGGATTGAGGTAAGGTCCTCAGAGGTTCGTGGTTGAGGACTTGGGACTTGGGGTGTTGGGTTTCGGTGGTTCTGAGTTGGGTAGTGGGTACCGATGAGTTCGGTTTAGGGACCCGTCTGCAAGGGCGAGCCCTCGGACCCAGTACCGAAAGGATCCTCAAAGCCGCGCAGGTATGGAGGTGACTGCATGGTCGTCTGCAACGACTGGCACTCGGCCCTGGTGCCCATGCTCATCCACGCCGAGAAGCCCACAGGCCCACGGCCATGATGTAGCCTTGTAGAGCTCGAGGCTCATGCCTAGATGCCGAAGTTCCCTAAAATACCCCAAAGCTCTTTAGTAAAGCCCAAAGCCCGACACAACGCCTTTGCTCGGCAAGCGAATCTTCAACCCGCCGTCCTCTTGACCTTTCGCAGCCTATCGAAACTTCCGTCCCGCGATCCTCACTCCCCGACTCTTGTTGCCCCAAAAGAAACCCAAACCTCAACTTCTCAAACCTGCACCTGCTGGCAGCCTCTAAAGCCTGAAGCCCTAAACCTAGAACCGAAACCACCTAAACCCCTAAAGACCACATCCTGAACCTTCAAGCCCTAAACTCCAGGCAAGTGGACGAACACGAAGTCCGCCTTCCTCTGCCACAACGCCGTCTTCCAGGGCCGCTTCGTGCGCGAGGAAGGCCCGAGGGATTGGATTCGGGGTATAGGGCTTTTCGGGGTTCCAAAATGGCTAATTGCTCTAAGGGTTCTATAAGGGTTATAGAAGGTTTATTTTGAAGGGTTGCTACGCGAGTTTTAGAAGGGCTACTGTAGCAGGGCAAGGGTTAGCACCAGGTCCAGCTTTAAGAAAGTTCTTGTAAAGGGTTTTGGGGTTTTGGGGTTTGGAAGGGCTTTGCGGCTTTTCTTGTTTGAGCCCTTGGGGCTTTGGAGTTCGGCTTGGAGGGTTTGGGGTTTAGGGTTAGGGCTAAGAGCTTTGCGGGTTGTTGGCTGTTCACACCTTCGACATTGCCATGTTATTTACAGTCTAGGCCCCAAAAACCCAACCCTAAACCCCGAACCCTAAGTCCCAAAACCCTAAACTGCTAAAACCTACAACCCTAAACCCTAGAACCCTAAAGCCCAACCTGCTGGTTCTGGGGACAAGGGAACCTGGGTCAGCCGAGTCTTGATCCAGGCCTCGCCAGCGTCTTCGGCGTTCCAGAGCGCTACATCGACAGCATCTGGGCTCTCGTGGAAGAGCTTAAAGCTGCATACGCGTACTATGGTTCCGGTAGTATGGCAGCGTAACATCATACGAGTCGAAGAGTGACTTTCTTACCATTATGGCTTATTTCCAAAAATGGACCACAATGCGGGTTTCTGACTGTGGCAAGTTGAAAAGGAAGCAGCTAGTAGATTGTAAGATGTCCGTACACCTTGAAAACCGCGCCCAGGTATCACCTTCAAGATGCCACTGCGCATCGGCAAGTACAACGAAAAGGCCGTGGCTGAGCCTAGGGTTTGGGGCTTCAGGGTTTAGAGTTTATAGTGTTTGGGGTTGAGGGTTCCGGAAACCCATGCCTTCCGATTTCACGGTGCAGAAACTTGCAAACCTTCCAGAGCAGAAGGCAGAACGCCGCCGTGAGTCAATGCTCTCCGGAGTTTGGGGGGGGGGAGGGGAGGGGTTGGTGTCGGGTTTGGGCGCGACGGGGCTGGGGTTGTGGGACTTGGGGGTTTCTATACTCAAGAGCAGGCGCCAGTAGTTTCGGAATTCTTGGCTTCACTTTCAGACTCGCCGCAGATGTCCTGCATCAACACCATGGCTGCGGGCCTTCGCTATGCCGATCGGGCACGAAACTCAGTTACGCGATTGATCCTTCTCTCGGGAGAGTAATCATCGTCTGTTTATATCGAGGCATGTTCTTTGTGCTGTTCTCCGCCTTAGCACTGCGCAGCCACAGCCAGCTGATGTCACAATTCCTTCTTCGTGATGGCCGTGACCAAGCAAGCAAGGGTTCTCAAGGGCAAGGCATCAAAGTGCATACGAACAAGAACATGTACTGCATAAACAGCTGGGCAGATGCATTGACATTCAACAGTGCCGGCCGGCACAAGTGCGATTGCACACACACAGAGTTGTATACCTGCAAGTCTGCAAAGTCAACGGGAATCGCGGCTGAAACACCGCGACATGCACGCATGCACGCGCATGTGCACACACATCCAGAAAGTACCTGTTTATATGTATATGATTGTATATGTATACTTGCATGTTTGTTTGTTATCTATATTTGTCTTTTACCTTTGTATTCGCTAATATTTAAATGCATATATATACATATATATATATACGATTAACGTATGAACATTTTGTATAGATGTGTATATGGACAAATATGCATGTATATGTGGACAATCCATAACCCATCTAACCATCTGTGCATCTGTCCATCCAGCAATAAAAATCTCTATCATCATCTATTCCAGATATCTGTACCCATATCTAAATCTATATCTGTTGTGCACATAGGTATGTCTATATCTAGACCTTTATCTATCCCTACGTCTGTATATATATATATATGCATGTATGTATGTATATACATAAGTATGTACATACATACATGCTTGTATACATATGCATTCGGCATGCTATCATGCATGCACATGTTCCTGGATTCGCAATCTGTACTGTGTAATTATATGCAACATCAAATATGTAACATGTATATCTAGATGTACATGTCCGCACCTGCTAAAGCCTGCCGAAGGCTTTGACCGTGTCTCCCAGCTATGCCGTG